CTCATTTTAAGCAATTCAAAATCTTCAGGTTCTTCTAAACCTTAATCCAATTGTGAAATAACCAATTGTAGTTTGAAATAAAAATAGTAGAAAAAAGAAGCCAAATAGTATGATTAAAAAAAAAGAAAAAAAAGGGAGGACAAAATTTCTTCAGGTTCTTGTACACCTTAATCCAATCAGTGGTTAAATGAAGAAAAAGGCTTAAAAAAAAGAAAGAAAAAGAAAAGGAAAAATTCTTCAAGTTCTTCAACACCTTAATTCAATTGAGAGGTCTCAAATAGAAAGGAGTGCATAAAAATAAACCAGAAAGGTAGATGAAAAAACAAAAATACCAGGAAAGAAGAAAAAAAGGCTATTCCCTTAAAAAAAAGGAAACATTAATACTAAAGCTTTCCCTTTAAAATAAAAAGCAAGTGTAGAGATTGACTTCCAAAGAAAAACAAAGACAAGCTCCAACAAAGCCAAAGATCCAAATAGCTGTTGCAAAAAAAAAAAAAGATAAAATGAAATAAAATAAAGCTGGTGAGGAGGGATAGCACAACTTGGAAAAAGTAAAAAGAGCACACTGCACTTTGTTTAATTATCCAAGGCTCTTATTATAACTGTCTTCTCCAAAAACTTATCACCTTTTTTCCCCCCTAGGTTTCAACACCAGACTTCAGCTGTTGATAGAAACCCAGAAGAGCACCTGCAATAATACTCTCCCATGCTCTTCCCTCTATCTTATCAAATAGGCAGTGTCCTTGAAAAAAAGTCTCAATTCTTTATCAGCTTTGTCTGGTCAAAGGAAAAGTATTTCCAAGCCTCTAGTTGGCAGTGTTACAAAGTTTCTTTAGCTTTCCCTTTCCCCCTCCTTTTCCAGCAGAGTATAATAAGAATTAGTTTAAAAAGGAAGAAAATATTAAAAAAAAAAGACTAAAAGGGAGTCTCTGGCTTAATATATTACAAAATCAAAAAGGGGAAAGAAAAGAGTAGATTAAAAAAAAAAAGGAAAAAAACAGTCCTGTTTCAAAATATAGGATCATCAGCAATAAGGAAAAAAAAAAAAATTACTTTGACATTCCTGTTTAAAATCGCTGCTTATTCACTTCTGTCAAAAAACTTTTACAGATTCTTTCTTTCCCTTAGGGTGTCCTCTCAAATCTTTAAATAAAGAAAAGTTCTCACCAAACCAGCACACTTTCTCGTTCTGTTCTCTTTCGTTTTGGAGCTGTCCCAACTTCAGCAGCTTTAATGGCTGCCTCTTTGCCGCTGGCAAAAAGAGCTTCTCCTGGATCTACCAGGGACTTTGTGATATCCCTGGGATTGACAGGATGCGATCTTTACATGCACCTTCTCTTCAGGATGGTTTAGATCCACTTGGACCGTCCAGGAGCAAAGATATCGGCAGCGATCTCAGACCTCCAAGATCGCATGCCGTATCTTTGCGACGCCAGCTCCGCCCCCTCTCAATTACAGTGTATTTTTTAAACACTTATTTCAATATGGCTGAACAAACACTAATGAATCAATAACAGTTCCCAATTCACTTTAGGCAGGAAACTTGGTTTAGATCAGTGTTCTTCCAGATCAGCCTTACTAATCAGAATGCCCTCCAGAGCTTTTGGACTATTCATCTTGTTATGTATTTACTTACTTATTCCTTCATTTAATATATATTCCAATAGCACCTCTGAAGGTTGACAATTTTGTACAGTTAAAATATCCACAGGAGATAATAATAAATACCCACAGTAAGAACTTAAATAAACATGCATAAAACATTCATAATAAATATAAAACACATTTTAAAAAGAAGAAAATAAAGAATTAAATGAAAGTCAAACTCTAATTAAAAAAATATCAATGATACCTTGTACCTAGCTGACCTCCAATCAATTGTCAAAAGCGCTTTGAAAGAGCTCAGTTTTGGGAATTTTCTGAAATGAATTCAAGATGGAGGTCAGAGTGATTTCAATCAGAAAACTATTCCAAAAGGCAAGAACTACCAGTGAGAAGCAGCACTTCCACTCTATACATGTAGTCCTAAACTTACAACAGTTTATTTAGTGACTGTTTGAAATTATGACAACACTGAAAAAAGGGTCTTATAACCATTTTTCACACTTACAACTGTTGCAGCATCTCCAGGGACACGCGATCAAAATTTGGATGCATGGCAACTGGCATGTATTTATGACAGTTGCAGTTTCCTACTCTCATATGATCACCTTTTGCAACGTACTGACAAGCAAAGTCAATGGGGAAGCCAGATTCATGCTACTAACTTAACAACTACAGTGATTCACTTAGCAATTGTGGTATGTGTGGTCATAAAATGGAGCAAAATTCACTTAGCAATTGTTTCGGTTAGCAATAGAAATTTTGGACTCCATTGTGGTTGTAAATCAAGGATTACCTGTAGAGTCATGTATAAAAATGATCTCATTGCAGAAAATGACCTGACAATCACTTCAGTAACTTTGGCCATGGGGACATAATATAAACCTTCTGGAAAGCACAAGTTAACAGAAACTCTATCAGCATAGTTAAAAGCTGATTCATGTGATCAAACTGATATGTTGAGAACATACATTGAACAGGCATAAGCAGTATTGGGCCCTGATACTGTAATACAGCATGTAGAATACTCTTTGTTTTTCTGTCCCATTTTACCTCTCACCCCATCCCTTCCCTGGAAGGTTGTTCGCAAAATATTGTTTTTGCAAGGTGTCTGAAAAAGTTATCTGTTGGCAAAAAATCTTTTAAAATTAGACTGGGAATGAATGAAATTAAGTTAAAATTTATTATGAATAACAATAGGAGAATGATAGTAAATAATAAAAAATGACATCAAAAGAACCCCAACAAAATTCATTTCTGCTTTATCCCTTGGAATATTAATTTAGTTAGCAGGTGCCTAGTAATTAGATTTTTGAGAATGCCATTTAAATTACATTAAGTTAAACCAATAAAAATAAAGGAATAGAATGATAGATCTTCCAGAGATCAAAACTACCATCAGGTATAATTACAGTAGGCATATTATTAACTGGATTGATTACATGGCATTAAGTTGGTGTTGATTCTTAGTGAGTACAGACTAAACCTTCTCCAGATTATCTGTCCCCAAACTGATTCTTCAGCTCTTCCAATATTGTACCTGTTGCTTAGCAATAGCAATAGCACTTAGACTTATATTGCTTTACAGCCCTCTCTAAGTGGTTTACTGAGCCAGCATATTTCCCCCAACAATCTGGCTCCTCATTTTATCAACCTTGGAAGGATGGAAGGCTGAGTCAACCTTGAGCCTGGTGAGATTCGAACTGCCAAATTTCAGTCAGCCGGCAGTCAGCAGAAGTAGCCTGTAGTACTGCACTCTGACCACTGCACCACCATAGCTCAGTGGTTGGAATGTAGTATGTAACCTGTGCACAGCTTAACCTGTGAATATGTGCTCTCAACTTGCTCCTAGTTGTCCTGTTCCTCTCTTTTTCTTCTGACTACACTAATCCAAACTGTTTTCCATTTTTGATTGCATGACCAGTTTACTTGGTCATGGGAATGCAATGGACAGAAATGTCAAGTAGCATACTCCACAGCCACTATATACCTTGTATTGCTGAACATGTTTATAAATGACTTCAGGAAAGAGCTACAGAATAAGATTAATAAATTTGCTGATGACCCAAGGTAGAGAACACAGCAAGTACATTAGAGGATACCGTCGAGATTCAAGAACATTTCACAAGTTGGAATAATAATAACAAAATTTCAATAGGGACAAATGCAAAGCTCTTCCTTTGGGTAATGAAAAAGCAAAAGCATGAATCTATAAAGCATGGGGAGACCATACTAGGCAACAGCACATGCAAAAAAGATCAGAATGCCTAGCAGGATATGAGATGACAGTGCACCTGCAGAAAAAAACAAAAACAAATTCTAGGTTGCATCAATAGAACGATGGTGTCTTTAAGTGTTTCCAAATTTATTCTTCACTGAGCAGAGCACATCCAGAATATTGTTTCCTGTTCTGTTCACCATATTTTAGTAAGTTTATTTTAAAAAACCAAGCTGATAAGTGAAAACCTCTGAAGAATGATTGGGCATTAGTATATTTAGCCTTGGGCAGGTGGACATAATATTTATTTGAAGTATTGAAAGGATTGCCATGTAACAGATCAGCTAGACTTGTTCCAGTAGTGGGATTCAATTTTTCTTACTCCCGGTTCTGTGGGTGTGGCTTGGTGGGTGTGGCAGGGAAGGACAGTATAAAATCTCCAGTCAGAGGTGGTACTTGCTGGTTCTCTGAGCTACTCAAAATTTCTGCTACTGGTTCTCCAGAACTGGTCAGAACCTACTGAATACCACCTCTGACTTGTTCCTGTCATTCCAGAACACAAGATAAGAAACAACAGGGTTAAATTACAAGGAAGGAGGTTTCTATTAGACGTCCAGAAGAATTTCCTAGCTGTTCAACAGATGAATGCTATTCAACAATGAAACATTTAACTTCTCACCAAATTAGTATGCACTGTTCTTCAAACAAAGAGTTGAAATTGACTTTTTTGGATATATAATAATTTATTTGATGTTATATCCCATCTATGTAGTATTTTTAAAGATTGGAGGTTTTGGTGTCTGGGGGAAATAAAAGGGAGATTCTGACTATTTTTAAAGGAAAGCATGCAAAGCAGAATGCCCTGAGTTTGGGGTATCCGCAAAAGGATTCAAAAAGTCATGGTGATGGGTGACAATTATGCAGTCAAAGTTCTGTACTGTTTCAATGTGCATTGTGATGTTCTCTGTGAAAATGCCTGACATGAAGTATTAGGAAGATGTGTAATACCATAGCCATAAGGTCATCTTCAGCCTATGCCAGCTATTTTCTTCTAGAGCATCACATACATGTGCTTTTAAATATGATAATGTTGTAGTAGTGTCATCCAACAAGAAAAGTCATGTTTATATTTCTATGTTGTAGGATGAAAAGCATCCAAGGAAATAATTACCTAACTTACCTTCTCAGAAAGCATGAAGATTCTCATATGTAAATTTTCATTGTCCTTCTCCTAAGAAAGAAAAAAAAAGTGAAATCTCTGCCTTAAAGTTGCATTAGTTCTAAAGGCTGATAAACAGAGATAGATTCACACCTAAAAAACCTGAGCCATAAATTGTTTAACAAACTATAATTAAACAAATTTGTCTTGGCCCAAAGAGATGTTCTGCTATGATTCATTATGACTTTTTGTTCGTAAAGAAATTCATTCCTGAAATTCATTCAAGCCTCTTCTACTGTTCCAGCTGTGGGATCCACAGCTACATTTGATAAGAGCTGCGGTGGTGCAGTGGTTAGAATGCAGTACTGCAAGCTACTTCTGCTGAGCACCGGCTGCCAGCAGTTTGGCAGATCACCAGGCTCAAGGTTGACTCAACTTTCCATCCTTCTGACATGGGTAAAATGAGGATCCAGATTGTTGGGGGCAATATGCTGACTCTGTAAACCACAGAGAGAGGGCTGTAAAGCACTGTGAAGGGGTCGTGCATAAACGTACCAATGTGCCTACCGTCCCTGTCCTATTGTTTCTTTTATTTTTATCTTTTTTCTTATATGTATCCATGTATTCATAACTATGTTTTTTACTTATATCTATTATCTTGTAAGCAATTGTCAAAAATAAATAAATAAATAAATAAATAAAGTGGTATATAAGACCAAGTGCTATTGCTATTGCTACATTTGGGAGTACCACTCTGGTGTGGAAGTAACAATATGCCTAAATTCATGATGTGAGTAGCAGAGCTACCCAAATGAATGATTTTGCTGCCTGTGGCAAAGGATAAAATCCCTATATGGCATGATGGGGGTAGACTAGTGGTTCTCTCATGCTCACGTGAGTGCCCACCACTTGAGCAAATGGAGCACTGTGCAAGAGCACTCTCCTGCTGCTTGCCTGGCCTGGGGGTTGGGAACCCCTGGGGTAGACTACTCTGATCAGAGGTCTCGGGCAGACCAGCATGGGAATGTTCCAACTGAGGAAGACTCAGAAGGAAGAGTCCAGGCAATTGCCGTTTCACTACCAGCAAGTGTCACAGGATATAACTCTCACTTTGCTCAATGGTAAGGGAAACCCTGTTGGGGGATTTAAAAAAAATAAAGCTTTTTCATTGAGATTCCTTCTTTATCCTGCTTTGTGACATTGCTCAATAGGGCAAATAGTGATTGACAACTGACAGGGACTCAGAGGATTGTTCGGAGAACAGTCGGTACAGATTTTCTGAGTTATAAGTACTGAGCTGGGCTACTTGTCTAAGTAATGATGTGCCACAATCACTGAAGGTGTCAAGCAAATATGTCTTGAACTAAGAAAAAGCAAATACCCTTGCAAATCAAACCTGATTCTGGGTGATTCATAATAGGTGCATGCCATTTTCTTGGCAGTCACCAAATTGTTTGCAAATTATACCTTCTGTGTTTTTTTAAAATTCAAAATAGCCTACACTCCTGGAAATTCCTGATACCTTCTATTCATCTAGGGCTAGGGCTAACCCTCCTTGCTTTCCAATCCCTGAGAAGCTCAGTTTTATCTTGTCTCTTGAGACCTTAAAGCGGTGAGATTCATTTTAAGCAGACCTTTCACAAATCAGTGCTTTTAAATTTTTTTTTGACTAAATGTAATGTAGGGCTGCCAGGTATTGCTTTAAATGCATTCAAATCATGCCACCAGTTACGTGTCATTTAGCCAGCAGATTTATGGTTCTTATTTTTAGGATGCCATGTTTTGTGTGGAAAATTAATCAGGAATATTTATTTTTATTACTGCCTACCAGTTTTTTCAGAAATTCCTCCTCTGAAGATGCTGTTTCATTCTCTTCCTCCTGTCTTTTCTTAACTACTTCCATGTCTGTTTCTAAGAAAGTGATGGCTTCCTCAGCTTGTTTTATCCTGGGCATGAGCCATGGAATAATAATAGCAACAACAACAATTGTAATGATTTGTTCATTGTAAAAAAGCTAATTAGACAAAGTGCAATTTTTCAGCAGCTACTCCTCCCTCCCCAGCTAAATTGGGAAGGAAGAGATGTGTTGGAAGAGATATTCCAGAAAAGGCTAGCAGATGACTGACTTGTCCAAGCTGTTCAAAATATTAACGACTATATTTGCTAGGTGGGAGCTCCAAGCCAAGGCCGTCCCATGGAGAAGGCTTCTCATGTGATCCACTGGCCAACGCAAGACATGAGCAGTTGAGATACTCCCCAGAAGTCAATGCTGACTCAAAAGCACTCAAAAGCAATAAATAAATAAATCATGTTTTAAATAATGTATTAATCTATTCAAAGAACTTTGGATGTTGTGCAAATTAGAAATATTAGTCATAGTAATCATAACAACCATAACAATATCATCATTAATAATAATAATAATAATAATAATAATAATAATAATAATAATAATAATAATAATAATAATAATAAT